GGGCACCCCGTGCCGTGCAGCACCCAGGGGACCTTGAGGACACCTCCCGGGGCACCCTGTGCCTTGGGGCACCCCGTGCCGTGCGGCACCCAGGGGACCCTGGGGACACCTCCCGGGGCACCCCGTGCCTTGCGGCACCCAGGGGACCTTGGGGACACCTCCCGGGGCACCCCGTGCTGTGCGGCAGCCAGGGGACCTTGGGGACACCTCCCGGGGCACCCCGTGCCGTGCGGCAGCCAGGGGACCTTGGGGACAGCTCCTGGGACACCCCGTGCCTTGCAGCACCCAGGGGACCTTGGGGACACCTCCCGGGGCACCCTGTGCCGTGCGGCACCCAGGGGACCTTGGGGACACCTCCTGGGGCACTCAATGCTCTATGGCACCTGGGGGACCTTGGAGACATCTCCTGAGGCACCTGGTGTTGGATGTCACTGGCGTAACCCTGGGGACACCTCCCAGGGCACTCAGTACTATACAGCACCCAGGGGACCTTGGGGACACCTCCTGAGGCACCTGGAGCTCTACCGTACCCAGGGGACCTTGGGGACACCTCTGGGGGCACCCGATGCTCTATGGCACCTAGGGGACCTTGGGGACACCTCCCGGGGCACCCGATGCTCTATGGCACCTAAGGGACCTTGGGGACACCTCCCTGGGCACCTAGTGCTATTACAGCAGCCAGGGGACCTTGGGGACACCTCCCAGGGCACCCCATGCCTTGTGGCACCCAGGGGACCTTGGGGACACCTCCCGTAGCACCCTGTGCCGTGCAGCACCCAGGGGACCTTGGGGACACCTCCTGGAGCACCCGCCACTGTGTAGCACCGGGGGGACCTTGGGGACATGTCCCAGGTCACCCAGAGCTCCACGGTACCCAGGGGACCTTGGGGACACCTGATGGGACACCCAGTGCTATACAGCACCCAGGGGACCTTGGGGACCCCTCCCAGGGCACCCAGTGCTGTATGGCACCCAGGGGACCTTGGGACAGCTGCTGGGACACTGGGTGGCACCCAAGGGAACTGCTGGGGCACCCGCATGTCTGGTGGCACCAGGTTGCCATCTCTGGGGCCACTGGGGGAAGCCTTGGGGCCACCAGACACCGCGTGGCACCTCGGGGGGCTCTGAGGAAAGCCAGGCAGCGCATGGCACCCTGGGGACCCCCGGGGTCAGCACCCACTTACCGGGGTGGGCGCGGGGCTGCTGTGGGACTGCGGCGGGGGGCTGTGACGGGACG